GGGGAAGAGGCTGGACCTCCACACAAGCCCTCTGCTTAGACTCAAAGCAGGAGGAAGCACAAATGCAAGAAGCATCACATTTCTTGCCCATAAAGGTGGCTCCGGGATTCAGATGCTGCAGCCTGTAAGTTCGCTGGGAATCGTCAACCTGAGGGAATTATGACACAATGGTGTTTGAGGCTCCTGGTGTGTTTTTCTTTTCCCTAGAATTAAAGAACATGATTCAAAAGAATCCTGCTTTACCAAAACAAATTTTTATACTAATTAATATGTTTTTCTTTAGTGGATGATTTCCAGAATTTGTATTTACTGTGACTGGTAAATAAATCATGTACATTCTCTCTCTTTTTATCTGTTTAAATAGATTTGCCTCAGTTCCTATATACTATAAAACGTTGACCTTCTGAACTTGAGTTTTGCCTGTTACAGCTTTGGAGTCCAGTGGAAAGACCATTCTTTTGTACCTGGGTGATGAGGGAATTCGTAAAGAGTTAGAATTTTAACCGATGACTAATGCAGAATTATCACTTGTCAAGAAATGATTGGGCACTAGGCTCAATGCTCAATATTTTGTGAATTTAAGCTTGATAAGGATCATTTTTCTCGTCTCACAAATGAAAACCTGAAAATCAGAGATGTGAAGTAACTTGCCCAAAGTCACACGATGTGGAAGACTTTGCATAAATAGATATGTGGTGGGTGACACATACAAGCTTTTAGAACATACCAGCTCGTAGCACTGCAATGAATGAAAGGACTTTTGAGCATAGAAAACAGAAGAAAGGAATTTAAAAAACCTTCACACTTTAACACAATAACATGTGCTGCTGTAGTACGGGCTTCCCATTTCAGCTTCCCTGTGGAGTTTGGTGAGATTTTCAGCTGTACTCCCCTCCTCTTTACTATTTTATGGCTTATTGTCTTTTTAAAAAGAGAAAAGTCTGGTTGTGTTGATTATCTCTTATTACTCCCAAATAAGAGCGTGCTTTCCTTTACTGAAATTAGATCCCATTCACTGTGCTGGCACACTCTGGGCTGTCTTCTCCGGAGGGATTAAGGCCTGTTCGATGGCACACAGTTGGAAATTGGTAGCACTGAGTCCCTGCCAAGGCTGGCAGACCTTTAAGATGGCATCTGGTGACCTTTCGCTGTACCTCCTGGGTCCTCCATTTGAGATTTTATGTTCTCGGCAGGGGTGTAATCCAAATCAAATGTGAGATCTGGTGAGCTGGAGTTACAGGGAGGTGGGGCTGACGGGGATCCCTACATTGCTTCTGGCTACCAGAGGCCCTCTAATCTTTCTCTCTAACCCGGAGATGCTGGGCTCTAGTGGAGGATGGCTCTACAGGGCTGGTTTGCAGGAAAAGCCCACTGTGAGACGGGACAACTGGACAGTTTTCTCCTTATTTATTTATCATCCAGGGACACGGTAATCCTCCCTAATTGCTCACATTTCTGGATGACACTCAACTGTTCACGCCACCCCAGGAGCAGCAGCTGAGGTCAGAAGGGCTCGTGCAGGAGCTCACTGGGTCTTGCGTCCTAGACAGTATTGATGGCGTTTTTTTCCTTCTTTTGAAATGGCAAATTTCTATATTTAGGACTGTAGGTAAATAGCAGACAAGCCTAGAAGAAAGAGCTGTGAGTTTGTGAACAGCATAACAACCAACGTGTGTTGACGAATAATTGTTTGTGCTAACCATAGACACATAGCATTTCTCAGCTGGAGAGTCATTTTCATCATAATTTTTTAAGTGCTATGTATTTAAAAAAAAAAAACACTTCTACTTGAAACAGATTTAACAGGTTATTTTTGGTTTTACATCTACTGGGGCTGTTTTAGAAGACAGGCAGATACATTTCACATTTCTTGAGCAATTCTGAGGCTGCCCGCAAAAGGATTTTAAAGGTGATTAAAGCAAAGCTAACATATCACCCATGCCTTCCTCCAGAGAGCCAACTCCACCCCATGACCATTTTTTTGCCTTCATGTCCTGCTTTTCCTACTTTCATTGCTCATTTCTGTACTTTCTCTCCCACGTGTCATTCCAAACTTCCACGGACACTCCCTTAACTCGACTGGCAATAGCATCTGAGTTTGTGCAATCAGTAAGGAGACTTAGGTTGAAGTCCTGGCTCCAATACTGAAAAGCCGTGCAGAACTAGGCGAATCTCATACACTTTCCAAATTTTATTTTCTTCCACCTAAAATGAGAATAAAATGAGCACCACTTGCAGGGTTGGTTTGGGGGATAAATAAACTCACGTATGTAAGTCACTATATGTAAGTAACAAGTCTCAGGCATTAAATGTTCAGCCACGCCATTCTTACTGTCATCATTGTCCACAACAGTTATTTCTTTTTCTTACGAAAGAACTCCAAATAGTATCGATTCTTTGTGACATTCATTTGGCGTTTATTTACATGCTGACTAGGTAGATTTCCTATTTAGGTAAATTTTATACCAACTTAGCACTTTATAGAAATATAATACATTTATATTTATGTAAACGTGCATATATCATAAGTCTGCCATTCACTGAATTCTTATAAATGTGATATACTCGTGCAACAAACACCTAGACCGAGAAGCAGAATGGTACCGATATCCCAGAAGCCCCCTGGTGCTTTCCTCTGGACTGTGTATCTAAGAATTATCCTGACTTATAGAATCAAGTATTACCGTGTTAACTTTATTGTTTACGTTATGTTTGGACAACCAAATGAAGTGAGTGTCTTGAGGTCAGGAAACGTGTATTTCTTCTCTCACTGCAAAAACTATTTGTCAAATATACTCTCCTTTTCTAATATTTTCATCCTGCACTATTATCATTTCACTGCCTTTGTCTGGCAAAGCCCCAGTCCTGGTGTGCCCCTCCTGTCTGCCTTCTAGATTTGCATGAGGATTATTAAGTGTAGTGCCATCCACCCTCTCAGACTGGTGCCACAAAAATCCACGTTCTCAAACCTTAACTGGCCACTCCCTTGGCCGAGCCACCCTGTATTATTTCTCTGATCGACCCTCTGTAAATGGAAGTATCCTTCAGAGTTCTTTCCTAGGTCTTCTTTTTTCTTATGCTACCACTGCTACCAAGAAGATGACTATAAAAAATATACCTAGCTTCAAAATGTTGCCTGTACTCTGGCCTTATTCAGATCAACAAGTATTGGAGTTATTGTTTTATGCTTAGATAACATGACAGGTTTTAAAATTAATCTCTTCCACTGTATCAGTAACAACAGCTAGAATTTATAAAATGCTTTTCAGGTACAAGGCATAGCTATTTTAAAATTTATTTTTTAATTATAAAACAGCATTTTTCATGTTGAAAATCTAGAAAATAATATTACAAGGCACAACAGGCATGTCCAGACTTTTTTTTTTCTCTCTGCCAAACATTGGAAGTGTAAGAGTTATCTTGGGCCTCACACTAAATACACAAACATTAGTGAAACCCAGTGAGCAAAAACAAAGTCTGTGCATACTTTTTTGTGATATCCAACATCACAGATAAACAAAATGTCCTCACAAAATCAGCATGTGGCCCACAGGCCGCAGGTTGGACACCCCTGAGATATATGAGATTCTGCCACCCAGAAATACTTACTGTTAACTTGTAGCATATTATTCCTAGATTTAATATACACACGTTATTTTTTTATTAATTTTTCTTACTTATACATGTGCATATTAGGTTTCCACTTTTGCCTTTACAGAATTAAAAAGGCTAAATTTAGTGACAATAACAATATTTAATATAAGGACTGAGAACAAAAACCTCATAAAGAACAAATGACGATAAATACATTCAGAAAAGAAATCAGACGATTGCTGCAACAAAATATTAAGCAATAATAATAGTAATAATGCGAAGAAAGTAACATTCACATTGTCAGATAGAAGTATGTCTATTATAGAATACTTTGATCAGTTAACTTCTTCTTATTTTGTTTTAGCTGTTAATTTCATTTATAAATATTAGTTGTCTGCTTTTTTTTGAGATGTTGGAAAAAACACATTATTTTTATAACTGGACATTTACCTATGTCATTAAAATTATTCACAACTATCTTAATGACTTCATACTCATAATATGAACACAAAATGAAATATTTGATACATCCACCAATCACTAACTATTTAGAGATTTCAAATTTCTTCTTTTGCATTTTTTCTTTTCTTCTCTTTTTTTTTTTTGCAGTTTTTGGCCCAGGCCGGGTTTGAACCCACCACCTACAGTATATGGGGCCGGCACCCTACTCCTTGAGCCACAAGTGCTTCCCCTTTTGCATTTTTTCTTAATACACATTCTTAAAAATTGATCTATGTCAAAAGGTTTCAACCTCCTGACTTCAGATATGTTTTTCAGGTCACCTACTACTGTATTTATTTTCTATTTAAAAATGATGCCTTGTTATTGTTTGACCTGTGAGTCTTTGGCCATTAAACAAGGTTGAAGAAATTTTAAATTTTGTTTTTTATTTGCACTTGTTTGAATTATTTCTACAGTTATTTTTTTCTTTCTTTTCTCTGCTTGACGCTAAACTCAAATGGGAGACTATAGAAAGAAAAGGGGGTCTCGAGGTGAGGCGATTGAGGAGAAAAGGAGCAGAACTGGGCCTGGCAAACTGCCCTGACTGTTTTCCATTTCTAATGCTGAAAACACCTGTTAGAGTTATAAGTAAGGACTGTGATGACCTTTAGGGTTCATTTTTTCACACTGTTGGTTACTCACAGTAAGGGTTTTGAAGCAGATGGAAAGGCTGTCTTTGTGAGTATGAGGAGAGGAAAAGGGAAACAGCCAAGCCTGAGATGACGACGGCAGGATTTTTCTACGGCAAATGGTCCATGAGCAGCTAACCAGTGTTTACTGCTCCATTCCACCATTCGGAGTTGCCACTATTCACACCAACGAGCTGACACCTTCCGTCCTTATGTCAGCCCAGTGCAGGGGGAGGCTGCCTGTGAGTAACAAAGTGTAAAACTGTTTCTTCACAGCAAGGAGGATGAGAACATGAAAACAGAAATGCAAACAGTGGTCCAGAAACCCAAGACTGGTAACGCAGGGCAGATGAGCAGAGACCCCCCAGCTCCTACTAACCTCGCTGATGAGCAAACCAATTGCAGCCCAGATGATGAAGAAGAGAGCAAGCGCCCGGGGAACACCCAGAGACCAGGGAGCAGCCAGCGACTCCTCACAGGAGCACACGGGAGCAGGTTCCTGGGTGGCAAAGTGAGTATCTTAGAAATAGCCAAGCTTCTCTTGGTAATCTATAAAGAAAATACAGATAAAAACACAGGTTTGTGCAAACATACACTTGTGCTAATGGTAATTAATACATTTTGCATGAGATAGGAAATAGAACCGGTTTTCTTTCATTATGAAAATGAATGTCAAGGTCATTGTGTACATTACGTCTTTGTTCACCATGACTTGAGTTGGTCAACCTACTCTGCCTGTGTCCATCCAACTCAGTGTGATACTCAGCAATACAGTGACAAATGTCAAATGACAAATGTCACTGTATGTGCAAAGTTGGGACATGGAGGGGGCAAGTTTGTCTGCTTTCAAATTATAAAGAGAATTTTATTTTTTAAATACAGTGCAACCATGTCTAGAGATTAAAGAAATTATAGGCCCCAAATTATCTTGACAGAAATATATATCACTGCATTCTGTTCACAATCAACCAACAACCCATAACAAACTAACTTGATAATAATGAATCTAAATGATTAGTAATTTGCAATTAAAAAGTATAGCAGCAATTCAGAACTGGATCTAAACCAAGACAACACTAACGATTCATTGATAACAAATTACCATTTCCAAAGTTGCTGAAATTGCAATTCAACAGAGACACAGAGTAGGGGTCTTGCAGTGCTGCCAAGCATTAAGCAATAGCTAGCTATTTTTTTATTATTAAATCATAGCAGTGTACATGATTTAATACAATAACAGCTAGCTATTTTGATAGAATACTGCATTAGAATCTGCAGTAAACTCTTAACATCAACTATTTTCCATTTGTAATTTTATTAGCCCTTTCCAAATCACTGAGATGCTAGCTAAGTCTTCAGTCATTTGAGAAAATGAATGTCTAAGGATTGGTGACCTTTTAGTAAGGACCATGCAAAGGATTCCAGTTTGGAAGAGGGGAATAGACCATGAATGGACCTCAGACTGACTGCACTCTGCAAGGTCTTGAACACTCAAGTCCAGAAACAAAAATGACTTGCCCAAAAAGTTAGTGTGGCAATCTGAGCTGGAACTCAGGCCTCCAGGCCCCAGTTAATGTGTTCTTCTGCCTTTCCCATGATGAATCCTTGAATTTAGGGCTATGTTCGAACAGATAATCTGCACAAGTGAAATAACCTATTATGAATTTAAAGACCTCTGAGGTTTTAACCCCAATTTTGACTCTTTGACTCTGGTATTCATATATTTGTTGTTGTTTTTGTTCCCCGAGAATGACCTTGGGGAACAATTATAGTTGTAAAACACTCTATTGTTGACTAATTACTTTCAGGTAAATTTTATTAGTTTTTCTTTAGAGTTAATTCTACAAAGTAGATTCCCCTGTTATTTCTCTCACCGTCAAACTGAGACTCGGAAAGTTAAAGTGACTCTTAAGTGTGCAGATGTGTGCCCAGGTTTTCTTTCTTTCTTTCTTTCTTTCTCCATTAGTTGCATTTTTATTGGTCTTTCTAATTATAAAATATTACATAACCATGTAGAAATTTTGGAAAAGCGGAAGGAGAATATAAAGAAGAAGGAAATAAAACTCAACCAAAGAAAACTAGTGGTTTTCTCTCCTTCTCTTCCCCATCTTCCCTCCGTGCAGAGATATGAAATGAGAATCATTCCGCACGTACTACGATCCCACTTGATTCACTTCACATCAGGAATTCTCCCCGTGGCATGAAAAAAAAATCATTCTACACATCATCTTTAGTGACTCTGTGTGAGCCACACTCAGAACTAACAGATAGCATTTGCTGTGTGCCAGGCACTATTCTGAGCTCTTTGCGTGTATGAACTAATTTACTATTCCCAAGAACCCTATGGGCTGGGAACTTTTATTATCTTCAGTTCAGGGATGAGGAAACTGAGAAAAAGAGAGGTCAAGTGCTTTATCAAAACGGTAAAGCTGAGAAGCCGGAGAGCCACAATTCAAGCCTAGGTTCTAGGTCTTTAAGCCCCAAACCATCTCTGTTACTTTATATAAACATAACATTGTTCACTTAACCAATCCCTTATGGGTACTTAAGCCATTTCTAGTTTTATTTCTTTTTTTTTTTTTTTTTTTGAGACAGAGCCTCCTAGTTTTATTTCTTATAAATGAAGTCTATTTCTTGACATTCCTTCGAACACATCAAGCTGCCTGTTCCTGCCGTGGACTCTGCATTCACCATTATAATGGGTAAAATGTTTACCCATCATAAGGGGTCAGCTGTTCTTGAACTTCCATAATCTGGATTACTTGCCAGCTCTGCGGTACCAAAGGGGAATTATCTTCCCCGCCCGTCCCAGGACTGAACAGGGTTTCCAGCGGGAGGCTCAGTGGGCCTAACACGCAGCCACCAAATGTAGGAAGGGACTGTGGGAGGTGTGGGGACCGACTAATTGGTTCTGTCTGCTGGCCGGGCATGTGGTGCTGGCCTGCCAGATGGTAGCCACAGTTTCCTGGTACAGAGACCCTCATTACCACCTTGACTGAGTGGTAAATGGAATCCTGCCGCAATTACAGAAGCACACCAATGAGAACTCCTTCTAGATTCTTACCACTCACACATAGATGAAAATAAGCCTTCCTGCCTGGGATGTAACAAGCAATCTGGACTGGCTGAACTGGCTCCAAGAGGAAAGTTGCTGATGAAGGCTGAGCTGACAGGAGCGAGGATGGGCAAGTGCGAGAGTCTTTGCCAAATTACAGAGTAAGTTTGAAGAGGACTGTCGGGCGGAGGGAAGGGAAGCTGAAAATGTTGAGAGACGCCATCATTTTCTGTATGTGGGAATAGTAAGATACCTTGGAAATCAACAAGTACGGAGCTTCCTTTCACAAAGAGATGCCGGAGAGCTTAAATGGTCTGTCCAAGGTCTCACAAGCAAAGAGGCTGGCTCTTCTGACCACTGGCCCTGGGATCTTTTTGCCTCCAAATTCCTGTCCTTGTGGGTTAAGTTTTGAAAAAAAAAAAAAAATATATATATATATATATAGTTTCTCAGAAGCTTTAATTCTGCCTTCTCTCAGAAAAAAAAATATAAAGGAATGTGTGACTAGCAACAAACTCAGTAGCACAGTTTCAAATGTAAAATTAGAGTGTTTTTTTTTTTTGCATCTGGTAGCATAAAAATGTGAGTGCTTTAATTTTAATAATTATCACAGTCGATCGGAAGGGTGTTCTTTTCAAAGCCCTTTTTCGTGTTTCTCCTTGTTTGTTCGTCACGGTAGCCCTGCGAGGTGGGGAGAGGCACGGGATTTCATCCTCATGATTTTATAGATGAATAGGCAGATGTCAGGGGCGTCTCCGGCAGGCTGTCCGTTTGCAGCTGTGATCCAGCACCCTCAAAGCAGAGCTTGGCTCCTGCTCTTCTTCCTGTGGTCTGTGCCTCCCAGAATGGCCCCACCAGGCACCCTGCTGATCCGCAGGAAACCTGGGCACGCTTCCCTCTGCTCCTGTCCAGACTCTGGTATCCAGCCAGTCGCTGAGCCCTTTCATTCTCCCTGCCTCGTGTCTCTCCAAAGATCCCTTTCTTTTTGCTTCCTCTGGCATTGCCCTAGTCAGATCACCATTTTGTCCCACCTGGGAAGACTTTAATTATCTTCGCATGGACTTCCCGGTCTTTAAACGTCCTTCTCCGTATCTGTCAGCTGTTGTAATAAATATTGGGGTGTAATATATCACCCACTACTCGGTGTTTTAGGACAGTCGTCACTGATGGGCACATTCACAGAAGTGAGCCAAGGCAGCTTTGATTTTTCTCAGTTGGGCTTGGCCGGGCTCGGCTCCAAACTGTGGGTTTGGGTCAGGTCGGCTGGGTGTTTTTCTCAATTTGTGTGAATCTAGTGAGCTCCTCAAAGCATGTTCTTCTTGCACTGATGGGAAAAGAAACTATTCAAGAGGACAAACTCAACCACACCTCCGCATGTTAAGTCTTTGTTTGTGTCATAGTCACCAACATCCCATCAGTCACAGCAAACCACGTGGCTAAGCATCGCACGGCTGATGGAGCAGGACCCACATGCCGTGGTTTTTAGGAGGAAGCCCCAAACCCCCAAATCAAGTGCAGCCTCTGCTTAAAAATCTTTGTTTAATCCCCATTTCCTTGCTATACAATTTAAAGTCTTTGACTCACATTGCGGTTCAACTCTGTTCTCTATTTCTCTCTCTTATCCCCACCTTTTACTAAGCTGAAATTTTATTCTACAAGTAGACTTCTGTTCCCTATCCCCTCCCATCCTTTGCCCATGCTGCTCCTTTTGGGTAAAATTCTCTTCCCTCCGTCTTTATTTGCTTACTCCTAACCATATGAAGTTCTCAACTTAGATATCAGCTCTACTAAAAAGCATCACTGTCTGATTCTCAAGACAAAGTTGCCTTTCCTGATGTATTTCTAACTGCGTCTGTCCACACCCCCATGGTCAAGGTTGTCACACTATTATGACAGGCTGTTTCATCGTCTGTCTCCCTCCACAGGTCTGAAAGTCCCCTGAGAACAAGAAGTGTGGCTTGTTCTCTTTGTTTTCGAAATGCCTCTCTCTGTGTATTAGGCCAAAGCCAGCATCTAATTTAATGGGGAAACAGTAGATAGGGGCTTTCTCATTGCAGTCTGGGAGAAGGCAAGAGACCCACTATTTCCACTTGTTTTTAATGTTGTGCTGGAGGTATTTGCCAATGCAATTAAACAGAAGAAAGAAATCATAGGCATAATGGTTGGAAAAGAAGACATGAAACTGTTTTCAGATGATAAGATTATACATCTTAAATCTTGAAACCTCTAATGAGAAAACTGCTAAAACCACAGAGAGAATTTGGCAAATCAGAAAGTTATAACGTCAATCACACAAATCGGTGGCCTTCTTCTATATAAACAAAAACTAGTTAGGAAATAAAATGGAAGAAAATGCACAATTTACAATAACAAAAAAAAAGTAAGTAAATTAATAATAAATAAAACGCCAAGGTCTAACTTTAAAAATAAAATGTACAGACCTTTAGAAGAAAAAA